TAAGATGCTCCTGCCTATCTTTGTTGATCATGTACTCGTGCAAGAAATTGGTAGTGCTCGGCTTTATTCCTCTAATCTCCAAGTATTTGTGGAAAGACTTCTGCAGATTTACATCCAAATCCCTGCAAAAAGAGAGAAATTAAGTATCAAGAATTAATAAAACAGTGAGAAAAGATCCAGACTTGAATAGTTGAATATACAAGAGAAAAGCTTACTGGAAGTCAGGCCCCTCATAAACAACTTGATCCTCAGTATTGGGATTTCTAATGGCCAAGCCATCAATGGAAATCTCATCAGCGAAAGCGACGCAGCTAAACTCCAAACTCAGTCCACTGTTCTTAGAGACAGTAACAACCAAAGGGAGGCTAGATTGGTAGGCCTTTCCACTGTCATCGTCATCCACATCCTCATTTTCTTCACCATTAACAAGATCGGGCATGTTAACTTCAACTTTAATGGTTTCACCATTGTACTCTCTTGCCAATGTTATAGCTTGAAATCCAGGTTGGTCTTCTATTTTGAAAGGAAAGTCACTTGAAACACCTTCAATCTTCAATTAAAAAAAAAAAAAAAAACGGAAAAAGAATAAAATTTATCAGGTAAATGACCACAGAAGTAAACTAATCCAATATAATCAGCAGCAGAAACATATAAGTCAGCAAACCCCCCTAAAGGAACCATAACCTGATTCAGGAGGGGAAGGGGGATTACTGCTTTCTGTCTCAAATTTAGAGGAACCATACATGTCTACCAATAATAGACCTTTCAAAAGCGAGAAAATCAGAGTCTAATGGTTTCTTCCAAAAAATTGTTCTTTTAGTTATAAGCCGAACATCACAAACGGACAGCTCAATTTACCAGAATTCTATATCAAAATGAACCGAATCCCACTACAATTTTTATGAAGTTTTCTTTTTTAAAACAGATTACTTCTTCCACGCGGTTTTATACTTTTATACTCAAATTTCATCTAAATGTTCAACAAAAATTGATTCTTAGTGCAAAAGTCCATTCTTTTCTTTTGTACAAATTCATTTTAACCCATTATTCCTACTATCTAGCAATAAAATATAAAG